ATTTGGTTAAGAATTGAGTAAGATACAGAGGAAAGTGTGTGCTCACTGTATGAGACAGTGAGCTCAAGGTGTAGCAGATGGGGAGGGCACAGTTGCCATATAGGGCACTCAGCATACTTATTTTATTTTATTTTATTTTGACTTAGAATTTTTTTGTACATTTAAGTCTAGTATTATTAACAGTACAGGGAAATAATGAAAAAGGGGCCTAATTAGAAGGACTATAAGGGTCTTATACCCCTCTAATTAGGTTCTGTAGAGTATGTACCTTAGGTGACTGTAAGTCATGACAGTTCTTGACACAAACATTCCAAGAAAGCTCAATGGTAATATCATTAATCCCAACTAGGCCATAGCACTCTGTAAGAAGCTGATGAGTAGCTTCAGTGTAAGGATTAATATAACTGTTACATATCTATTCATGTTGGACAAGATGAGGGTAGACCTGTATTACTTAAATTCTGCTATCCCTTTCTATGCTTGTTAGGAAGCTTAGCTTTCCGAAATTGTGCAAACATCCAAAGTACAAGAAACAGGACAGGCTTGACAAAGCACATTACTATCCAGCTTAATAAAACTTGATCTCTGCCATTCTTGCAGGATATACAACTTGTTAACTAATTCTCACAACATTCTCCATCAACTACACTACAACAACAACACTGTGCATCAGAAGAATAATGTCAATCCATATTCTAAGAATGACTGTTTTAGAGTGAGTTACATACTACCAACAAATTCCAGCAGTTGTTATGTGGTATTCATTCCTTATTTGTTGGAATAGTAGTCCCAACACCCTGACACAGGCTCTGTAAAGCACTTGTTACAGCTGCCTGATTGGATGAGCTGCACAAGCTTGCAACACCATCACGAAAAAGTCTTAAGTATTGTATTCACTTGTAATCCTATACATTTTGTACCTTTTATAAAATTTGTCAATGTTAATATAATCTTCATAGGGGGTTAAGCAATGATAGTACAATGTTAAATAAGTAAACAAGAATACTTTTAAAACTTGGCAATTACAATTATAATTGTGTAAATTGTCAAGTTATACAAGTGATTATAATATACTTCCTAAGATTACAAGGTTAAGACATACTTATTAATTTGTGACAGTATAATATCTACTTATAATGCTTATAAGCCATTACAAGCATTTGAATCACTTCCTTTTGCTTTGGATACAATTTTTTATCAAATAATTTATAAAATATAATTATATTTAATTATTTAATACAAAATAATAAATGATACATTATTTCTACTAGTCCTGACCCCTGCACCACTAGCAGCCTCTGCCTTGTTCTTTCGTGAGCAGAATTCGTGTCGG